AAACTTTATTTTCAGTGATGTCTTCTCATTCTCGTTCAACCACTTTAGAGCCGCGTCGTTTGAAATTTCCGGTGTTGTTTCGGTTCGATTGTTGTCAATGGATAAGATATGTTTTCTCTCGTTCCTCTTAAAACATTTTTTTTGGTCATGTGTTATTGTCATTAGTTTCTGCATGTGGTGATTTCTGGTTGATAAGCCGATAGAGGAGATTATTGTGGTCATACGTGTTAAGAAAAGAAGCTAAATTTCGAGTATTCATCCATTATTAGAAATAATTTTCGGGTTGCCATTTTAGATATGTGGAAGTCTATCAATGTTCAAGATTCTTATGATTACGGTGCATCACCATTGAGTCCATGTCTTTTAATCGTCGATGAACCAATGTTATGGGGTCATCACCGGCTATTGAATCTATTAACCACTAACCTCCCTTGTCTCCTCTAGGAGAAATTATTTGATGAATTCGACTCACCACGTCATTTTTGGTCGCAACCAATAAGGTCTATCTATCTCAAGGCAACTTTTAAATAACTACTCACTCTTTTTTACATGTAGGAAAGAGGTGAATATTCACCTTGGAGAAAAAAATGATGTAGATGGATCTTATTAGTTGGGACCATGAATGACGTAGTGAGCCGAATCTATCTAATAATTTTTCCGCCTCTAGCCCTTTGTGCTCGAGTCCTTAAGGTAGTGGACGATTTGGGGGTGATACCGCGAGGCAAGATTTTAAGCTTAGGGTCGGTGGGATTAGCGATGGGGTTTGAATTTAAAAATTTTAATTATTTTCTGTTTTTTATTTTAATCATGCATGTAATTAAAATGGATGCTATTATAGGAAATAAAGATAAATGTGTTCTATTTGATACAAAAGGAAAAAAAATATTATTTTAATAATTTAGCTTTAAAATATACATCTAAAAACTTGTTATGTATTGATTTAATAGTTTGTACATTACTTTTGACTTAAAGTAAAAATAAGTTTTCAAACTACGTATTCTTTTTGTTTTAAGTACATGAATTGTTTTTTGGTCAAATTAAGGATTTAAATTTTTTATATTTAATCATTTGAAGTCATATCATTTTCAGTTAAAAATATTTTTCGACCATTATGATATTGACATATCATTTAAAGTAAACAAAGTCATAGTTTAGGGACTTATTTTGATAAAAAAAATAGTATAGGTACTTAAAGTGGTTACATATAATAGTTTAAGGACTTAATTTGATCAAAAACTAGTTTAAGTACTTAAAGCAAAAAAAATGACATAGACTGAGTACCTTTTTTTAATTAAAGCTTTTATATTTCGTTAAATTTGTTATTTATTGGTTTAATTTTAGTGTCTAATTTTTGGATAAAATACAAAAATGGTCCCTCATTTATAAGATACTATTTTGGAACATAATGAATAATCGTGTAATTACCTAGAACTTAATTTGAGTTGAAATAAAAAATAATTGGGTGAACAAATTAAAACAAAATTGATAATTGAAAGTATTAAACATATAGTTACCTCATAAGTTAATAATATCTTTTAAACCTTAATTTTAAAATCCTGAGCAGAGACAAAACTAGAATGCCCTGATAAGAACAAATTTGTCCTACAATCTTTAAAAAAGAATCAAATAAAAAAAATATAGTACACTGATAATCCCTAAAAACCTAAACAAAAAGAATTTTATCAACCATTCCATTACATAACTAACATGCACGCGAATTTTACAAAAAAAAAAAAAAAATGCAAAAGGGATACCTAAGGCCCTCCACTTTTTTTTTTCACTTAATGTGATCATCCAATTTAGAAAAAAAAAATTCAATGTGATTATTTAACCAACATTTTCTGTTGTTGACCGACAGGGCCGTTACTTTTTGCTGACGTGACACGTTAAGCTGGTCAAATCCTTTTCTTATCTCAACATGGCCCTCCAAATCAAGAAAATAACTCAATCTAGCCCTCCTATTTTTTTACTTCTATTTTTGTCACTAAACTTTAAAAGTTTTCAATTTAATCACTCAACTTTTGAATTGCTCCTATTTTAATCATAATGATTTATTTTATTAATATTTATGGATAATGTGACATTTATGTATGATGTGGTATTTTTTCTTTTCAACCAAAGATTTTTTTTTATTTCTTTCATTTCCAGATTCAGTGAAGGATGAGCTACTTGACTAGGTAATGAAAGGGAAAAAAAGAAGTATTTGGTTGAAAAGAAAGAAAAATGAAATTAGAGGATAAAGGAGGAGAGTGGAGATTTGGAAATATATAAATCAAAGAGGTTATTTTTAATTTAATTATAATTTTGAGAATATTTTTTGCTTCAATATATTTTTAAAATTTTAATTTAATTAATATTATTTTAATCACATATTAATAAAATAATATTAATAAATGTTACATCATACATAAATATTAAAAAAATAAATCATGATGATCAAAACATGAGTAATTCAAAAATTGATTGATTAAATTTGAAAACTTTTAAAGTTTAGTGACTAAAATAGAAGGGAGAAGATAGTTGAGTTATGAAGGTATAATTTTATCATTTATAGCAGCATTAAACAAAAATAGGAGGGCCAGATTGAGTTATTTTCTTGAGTTGAAGGGCCAGATTAAGAGAAAAAAAGTCTCTGTCATCACAAAGTAACAGTCCCATCAATTAACGACGAAAAACGTTGGTCAAAAGATCACATTGAATCTTTTTTCTAAATTGGAGGGCCACATTGAATGAAAAAAGTAGAGGGTCACATTATTTTTTTTTTTCAAAAGTGGAGGGCCTTAGGTACCGTTTTACCTAAAAAATTACACACGAAGGAAAATATTTTTATATTTTCTTAATAATAGGTGTTACAAAATTGAAAATTCGACAAAAGTCAGTCTCATCACCAAAAGTCTGCAATTTAAATTGACAATAAGGAATTTGATCAATCGAAATTAATCATAATTTATTAATGAACTTGAATTTTAAAATATAAACAAATTAGATTCAATGGACTATCATATTAAGATGTTTGAATCGATTTATTGAGAAGTTTTACCGTGTGACAACTTAATATACGGTTAAATAAAGACACTATCGGTTTTGTTATTATTTTTTTAATAAAATCGGTAAAATATTACCTAAAATATTATTATTTCTATCTAAAACAATAATGTTTTTTAACATTTCTGGTAAAGTATCCAATAATAACAAAAACGATAGAAAAAATAATGTTTTAGGTAACGTTTTACTTGATATGTTAATAAAACCGGTAAAACGTCCAATAATAACAAAATCGGTAAAAACAATAATGTTTCCGATAATTTTTTATCAACTTTATTAAAAAATTAATAACAAAACCGATAATATATTTTCTTAACTATATATTAAGAACGTCACATGTGAAACTTTTTCCGATTATTTATTTCTGACATAAATAAAATAAGATTTGAGGTAAGACATATTCAAAGCAGTCTGAACATGTTTGTGTGAACATAGTGTGAACATGTTTTATGGTAATTTAGGAAGAGGGGTTCAAAGGAGGATAAATAGTGTGAACGCGGGGGCTACTCTGAGAAGAAGGAGAATAATAAAGAGAATCATGATGCAAAGGAGTTGCACATGTTTGTGTGGAGTTCGAGTGCTTCGCCGGTATCCAAAGCAGGCGGACTTCACGTCTTCGCTGGCTACTCTGAGAAGAAGGATCTCCAAAGAATTCACAGAGAACAAGCAGCAAGAGCGGGGAGTCGAGTCACGAGTATGGTGGTAACAAGCTTAGTTCGCATGACGTCATGGAGCTGAAGAGACGATTCAAAGAGGATGACAACGACAATAAAGATGACGGCGGTGGAGATGACCATGGTCATGGTGACTATTCAGAGGAAGAGAGTAAAGAGAAGGGAAGGGTGGTGGAGAGGGTTACGAGGTGCTCCGGAGGAAGAGGGGGAGGGCTAAGAGAGGGGTGAGGAGGCCGCTGCAGAGAGCGGCCGCGGAGTCGAGGGGCAAGAGAGGGAGAGAAAACGTGTATAATGAGGTGGTGATATTGGGAGGTAGGGGAAGAGCTAGGACTCCATTATTTTGAAGAAGAAGAAGATGAAGACATCCACATGCCAACTCACCTACGTGTTTTTTTTATTTTTTAATTATCAACTTAATCTTTTATTAATGGGTTAATGAAAGTTAACGATGAGATATCTGAACCAGACCGATAACGTAAAAGACCAAACGTACTTGATTAAGTAGATTAGACTTAAAACAAAAGGAACCACTAACATAGTTTACCCTTAATTATTTCATTAATGGGTAAAATTTATTAAAAAAACATTGATAAATTTTGTAAAATATAAAAATTAGGTTATACACGGAATTTCAAGGAATTGCTAACCCTAAAGCATAAACAATCTCAAGTCATTTGACTTCGAAGCAGTAGGCTTCTCATTCAATAATTTGATTTCAATCTTTTTTATCTACCTTCTTCCTGAGTCAAGGTGAGTGCATATTCATTTGAAGAGGGGGGAGGGCGAAGAGGGGTGAGGAGGCCGCCGAAGAGAGCGAAGGCGGAGTCGAGGGGCAAGAGAGGGAGGGAAAACGTGGATAATGAGGTGGTGAGATTGGGAGGTAGTGGAAGGGCTAGGACTCCATTATTTTGATGAAGAAGAAGAACAAGACATCCACATGCAACTCACCCACGTGGTTTTTTTAATTATTTTATTATTTTTTAATTAACAACTCATATTTTTATTAATAGATTAATGGAAGTTAACGGCGAAGGACCTGAACCGGACTGATTGATAACGTAAAAAACCAAATGCACTTAATTAAAAAATTGATAATTAAAGTCGATCAGACCAAAAATAAAAGAGAACACTGACATAATTTACCCTTAATTAATTCATTGACTTGCAAAATTTAATAAAAAAGTATTGATAAATTTTGTAAATATAAAAATTAGGTTATACATGGAATTCCAAGGAATTGCTAACCCTAAAGCATAAACAATTTCAAATTATTGGCTTCGAAGCAGTAGGCTTTACGTTCGATAATTTGCAAGCTTAAACAATCTCAAATCATTTGACTTCGAAGCAGTAGGCTTCTCATTCAATAATTTGCTTTCAATCTTTTTTATCTACCTTCTTCCTGAGTCAAGGTGAGTGCATTTTCAGTTGAAGGTTGTGTGTGCAAACCTACAGCATTTGTATCACCGGAACTTCTTTCTACATAGAAGCCAGGCTCCTTCGGTCGAGGCAGTGACGTCGCGATCTCTTCGTTATCCAACATCCGAACCACGCACGACATCGTCGGTCTGTCCTCTACGTGTTTCTGAACACATAGCAGACCTACCAGAATGCACCTCACCACTTGTTCTTCAACACATGAATCTTCCGAACAACGATCCATTAGTTCCATGGCCTTCTCATCGTTCCACAGCAGCCATGCCTGCAATGAATCGAGTTCTTAATCCGATATCGTAAGGCTAATGACACAACGAAATCATATGACAATGCAAGAAAGGAGACCTACATGTCCCAAGAGATTGTGGTAATGATCCGGATGGTTAAAGCCCCTGTTCCTTTTCCCACTCACAATCTCTAGCAGAAGCACCCCCAAGCTAAACACATCTGATTTAACCGAAAATTTCCCGTCGATCGCGTACTCCGGCGACATATAACCACTGAAACAAATGATCAAGCAAAGTGTAAGCTTTTGAACAAAGTGAAGAAAACAAGCAATCTATTAATTTCATGCAACAACATTAGACTTACTATGTCCCAAATACTCTCTTAGTTTTGGCTTCAACTTGATCACCTCCAAACATTTTGGCTATCCCAAAGTCTGAAATTTTGGGGTTCAACTCATTGTCCAGCAACACATTACTGGTTTTCAAATCCCTGTGAATGATTCTCAATCTCGAATCTTGGTGGAGGTAAAGAAGCCCTCTTGAAATTCCCATTATGATTTCGAAACGTTTCGGCCATGTCAACACATTTCTTCTGGTTTCATCTGCAGAAGTTTTATTTTTCTTTACCATGTACTGACATATCAATAAAGTAGAGATTAGAAGAAAACGAACCGAATATGAAGTAATTCAAGCTTCTGTTAGGCATAAACTCGTAGATAAGCATCCTTTCATCTCTCTTAATGCAGTAGCCCAAAAGCCTAACAAGATTTCTGTGTTGAAGCTTAGATATCATTGCAACTTCGTTCTTGAAATGTTCAACACCTTGCCGGGAATTGCTAGAGAGCCTCTTTACTGCTATTTCTTGTCCCTCAAATAGCTCACCCTGCATGTTATTTTGCAAAGGAATTATGATACAAGTCCCCTTTCATTGAATCATATATATAATCATTGAAGCAGATATTAGCTCTGGCAATTACCTTGTAAACAAGTCCGAAACCGCCTGTTCCTATTTTATTCGAGTCGGAAAAGTTATTGGTTGCTGATGCAATTGTAACAAAATCGAATAACGGCAACTCCAGATCTTCTTTGTTCGAGTGCAGTTCTGAATGTGAAAGAACTGGTATTAGATTCTATAGATCTAAGAGAAATGATAAAGTTTAATTACCTTTTCTTTTGCTCCTATACTTCCAAACAATGAACCAGCATGCCAAAAATAAAGCAAGCAGCCCACCGACCATTGATGTGATCATTATAATCATTATTCTTTTACTTCTCCAACTTGAATTATTTGTCCCTTTACACCAGCAGATCAAGTTAGCCATTATTTTCCTCAAAATGCAGCAGTAAACAAAATGGAATAAGTACAACACAAAATCCACTTACCTACTTCTGAAGCAGGCAACCGGACATAGATATTTTGATCAAATTGTTCTACAATGAACTCTCGGATATCTGTCAGTTCTCCGAACCACATTAAACATCCACTTCCGTTGTAATTCGATCTAGCATATGCTGTACACGAACAATTCTTCAAGCACTCTGCCCGGCAATCCTCGAGGTTCAACCTGTTGTCTAACTTGAAGTCCAACAGGTCTGGCAATTTCACATTCTCAACTTGCAGGAATCCCTCTCTCTTCCGGCAGTCTAATGGGGTGCTCCTCACACATCCACCAGTCCAATTGAGTTCTCGCCACTCGCGTTCCGATCTCGGAATGAACCCTTCCAAGCATTCACAGATTGGCCTCTGCTTAATCTTACAAACTCCATTAGGGCCGCACTGTGCATAATCATCACACTTATCATTCTGCAGTGTAAACATGGTGGTCCATTCACTGGTGTTCTCATACAACACGCGGCGTTCAAGCAAACCAGATTCGTTCACCGTAAATCTCATGATAACAGATTTGTCCACCACTTCATACGAACGGTAAACCTCCTCTGTATTAAAAACAAAAACACATACAGTAAGAGGGCCTTCCTGTGGTGGAAGACCACCAAATCTAATTCCATTCCATGGACCACCTCGAAACCTCTTCTTCATCCCCGCACGAAGAAAAAACTGAGGCAAGCCATTATGCTCAATTCCATAAGTAAAATCTCCAGGTGAGGGATCATTAACACCCTTCCGTGCCCTCAAATATAGATTTACGCCGGTTTTAAAGTTCCTTCCTATCTTCATCCCTGGCAATTGTGTATCCGTTGGAAAATCAAAACTTTCCCACAAATAACTTTCTGTCTCTTCATCGGTATCCTCATCTTTAACAACCAAATTACCCGAATCCAACAATTGAGCAACCGGATTGTTTGCTGATCTAGACGAATTAGCGGACCAGATCATAGTGTTTTGTCCATCAAAGATGAAAAGATAACCAGTGCTGGAAATATTAAGAAACGCGTGTGAATCTATAACTGGATTTTCTCTATTACCAACCCATACAACAGTATCAGGAAGCCTTTTATACCATATTCCCAAGTAATATTTGTTGGAGTTAACAGGTGAAAAGAAGCCTAGCTCGAATATTTGACCAGGAGAAACTAAGGTGCTGCCATTTCTGAGTGATTGAGCTGGAGCTAAGGTATCGGCAGCAGAAGCATAGTATGAGCCTGAAAACAGGCAATACTGAAAGAAGATCAAAGCAAGTATCTTCATTAAGAAAGGAATGAAATATTAACTGAACATGCATGACGTTATATTTATCATCAATTTACCCGCCGGAAACTTGGAAAACAATTTACATTTTCACATGCAAAATCATAACTTACGATTGCTATACAAGGTCAAAGTCAAGAGAATTTGGTAGCAGCCATGGTCTTCATTCTTCAAACAGTAACACTGACCTGGGAACAAAAATACTCATTTTAACTTCCGAACCAACTCATGAGCGTGCTTCACTGGGATAAATTAAAAATTCGATTATAGTCAAAACAAGAAATAACAGGTATTAGTGTCATATAGTTTGATTGTTTGAGTTTAAAATAAAAAGTAACCATATTATACGTAACACATTCAAGTATTTTCAGTCGAACACGTATCAATAAATAAGAACGAAGGATTATTGTAGAGAATGTATCGACAAATGGTATAATTAAGCAATCAAATTACCTAATAGAGGAATTGTGTTCTACGGGAACGTTAATGAATCAAGGGCATACAAATCGTCCTTCCAATTTAAGGGTGAATTGAGAGAGAGCGTGGTGGGAGCGACTAAAGTATCGCTACAAAAAAATGAACCCGAATCGAGTATCAGACTAGCAAATAATATAGCAAGTGATAAGCAGAAATAATAATTGTCGTAATTCATGAAACACATAGAGACCTCTTTAGAGACAGAAATGTCTAAAACACCCTTTAATGTTAAATGACCATAATGGAGCAACTTAATAAACTAACAAATTAATAGACTAATAAACACTTTCATAACGTTCTAGATGGGAAAACAAGTGAGATAACAACTTGTAAGGGGATGACTTCACTTTAGCGTGTCGAACTATGCTATTGTGTAGCTAGGCAACCTTAATTGTCCTAGTGGGACATTGTTAGTGGTGTGTGACCTTTAGACCCCAGTCATGCATATATAGTTGCATCAATATTGTACATAAAATATCTTTAAAGCTTGGCCAAATGCTACGTGAGACCAAGTCAATGCTTCAACGGAGTGGAAATTTACCGATGCTATGTGATACTAAAATTCCTTCATTTTCTAATATCTGAACTAATAATCTTTCATGTGTCACATTTAGAGAATGCATATCGATTACAATAATTGTGGTTAGAGACTCAATAGAGGTGTATTCATGGCGAGGCCCTGCAGAGGATTAAGGGAAACATGAGACTCCTACTTTATTGATAGAACAGTTCAACCTTAAGTAGGTAACACTTGATTATGATCATGCATGTACCTATGGATAGACACCATGTATTCTAGCATGCTCGTGTTTATAAAATTATTAATACTGCTATAGAATAACGATTATATTGATGGTTTTTGTAAGTTCAATGTTCGAATATTTTCCTCCACAGGTTATTAGCTTGAGGAGCTTTAGTGAGCATGTGTATTTATAAAACTTATGTTTTTGGATTATCAAACTTGAGTTTTATTATTTGATTTAAACTATGTGTAACATAACTCTGATTTATAAAATGTTTTGTAGGTGTCAAGTATGTCTATCTTGATATCATTCAATATGTTTATATATGAAAATGAACAAATTTTAAATATTAATTGTTGTCTCGACATTCCAATGTTACACTTTAGGCCCAATGAAATTTAGGGTATTACAAATTTAAAATTAAAAAGATGCATCCAATAATCAATTTTGATGAAACGAAGAAAATAATAATAAATGATAATTTTGAAGAAATAGTAAATAGGGTAAACTATACATTTAATGCTTCAACTATTCTTTTTGTTCCACTTTGACTACTCAGTTATCTTTTATTTCACAATCATGATTAATATTTAATTTTAATTTCATTTTGGTCACCATCGTTAAAAAATTAACAATGATGCCAACATGTCATTATAAAATAGTACTATATAATTAAGAAATAAAAAAATAACACTAAAACTAAACATAGATATAATTTTGAAAAAAATTAGTTGAATGAACAAATCAAAACAAAAGTGATGATTGAGAGTAATAACATATAGTTTTGCCCTAGTAAATATAATCTCAAATGTTTTGATTTCTTAATGTGTTAATAATCTTTGAACTCCGTTTAAAAGTTAATCTTAAAATCCTGAGCTGAGACAAATCTAGAAGGCTAAGAACAAATTTGTCCTACAATCTTTTAAAAGATTCGAATAAAAATTACACTACTAACCCCTAAAAAACAAAAACGTTTGCAGCTAATAGGGAGGATTGAATGATAATTACAGAAATTTCTAGAATAAGTGTTTTTTTTAATAATCTTGGTATATACAAGGCAATATCTTTTCGAAGATAAATCTCAATCTTTCAACATTGAACGCTCACATCCTTGGCATTTATGGTGCTCGAATCCGAATCTTCAGAAATAAAAACAATTCTTTTATCACAAATGTCACTTGGTTCGTGCTATAGAATAAGTGTTTTTTTAATAATCTAGGGTAAGTACAAGATAATATATGTTAGAAGATAACTCTCAACCTTTCAACATTAAACGCTCACACCCTTGTCATTTATAGTGCTCGAACACGGATTTTAAGAAACAACAACAATTCTTTTATGAGGTAGATCACTTAGAGTCGTGCTCTAGAATAAGTGTTGAATCAACCATTCCACTACATAACTAACCTGCACACGAAGAAGTGTTGAATCAACCATTCCACTACAGAACAAACCTGCACACGAAGGAAAATGCAAAATTGAAAATTCAACAAAAGTCAGTATCGTCACCAAAAGTGGGCAATTTAAATTGACAATAAAGAATTTGATCAATTGAAATTAATCATAATTTATTAATGAACTTGATTTTTAAAATATAAACAAATTAGATTCAATCGACTATCATATTAAGATGTTTGAATCGATTTATTTATTTTTTACATAAATAAAAAATATTTTTGAGGTAAGACATATTCAAAGTTAGATTAATATTATAAATCAATATTTGGTTTTTCCTTATGTTTGGGCTAGGGCTAGGGCTAGGGCTAGGAATAGGGCTAGGGCGTTTGACTGGCTGGCGGCTGTAACCTGTTTAATGATATGGATCATAACCATTTAATCCCAATTTGGCTGGCTTATTGTAGGGTAAACTACACATTTAGTATATGATTTAAATGTATCATTTTACCTCAAATTATATTATTTTTACAGAGTTATTCTTTAAAGTATTTTTTTTGAATATTTTATCCCCTAAAATTTAAATTATTACTTCATTTTTCTCAAACGATTATCTTCGTTAAAAATACACAATTAAATTACATTTTTAATTTTATGACTATTCGTATAATTTTTATTTTAATCATCTAATTATTATTTTTAAATCATCATTAAACAAAGGTAACTTGTACCTTAATTAGAAACTCATCCAAAAAATGTCGAACAAAATAAATATTCGAATATATCTGACTTCATCGGTAAACAAACCATAACAAGAGATCAATCAACTGAAAGAACACTGACAATTGCGAATTAAGATTGAACATCGTGAGAAAACTATCTCTGAACACATATCACATATCCAAATTCATCCGAGGTTCTAAAGTAGGACATATAAATAGGATAACAAATAAGCACCACCTTGATCAGTCGAAACTATGTCAAATCCAATTATAATATAAGTAAAAAAAAGTCAAACAACAGATAAATAATATCGAAAATGTGCTAAAATAATTTAAAAAATGCTATAGAGACAAAAAAATCGTGTCATGGTAGAGTTATTAAAAATAAAAAAATAATAATAAAGATATCATACAAAAAAATAAGACTTAAATATACAAAAGGTGTCTAATGTATGCATTTTGTTCCAGTTTAGTGCTTAACACTTATTTCGTTCTAGTTTGGTGCCTAACGTTTTATTTCGTAACTCAAATTGGGTCAGACCGTGACGGACCCTTAAGTGACACGTCAACCTGGTAATTTTAAATTTTTATTTAAAATTAAAAAATTATATATATATATATATATATATATACATATTAAAAAGAAAACACAAATTTTGAAATAAACTCAAAACTTTGAAAACAATCATTTCAACCCCTAAACCCACGCTGGCTGTCGCCTTTTACCGTAAACGAAGCTCCACCCGGCCTCCCCTCCCCACGATGTTGAAAACCCCTATGAAATAGTGACCGATCGACGATCGATCGGCCGTCAGAATCGCGTGGGATTGCGATTTTCATCCTAGGGTTCACGGGGAATAAAACGTTGATTCATCGCCGATCAATCATGATTTCATGGGGCTTTCGTCGTCGTGGGGAGGGGAGGTCAGGTGGAGCTTCGTTGACGGTAAAAGACGGCAGCCAGCTTGGGTTTAGGGGTTGAAATGATTGTTTTCAAAGTTTTGGGTTTATTTCAAAATTTGTGTTTTCTTTTTAATATATATATATATTAAACAACATTTTAAAAATTACCTTGTTGTGACACATGTCACTTAACGGGGAAATTAACGTTGTTGAAGACCCGAGAACCTAAAAGTTTTAGGCACCAAACTGGAACGAAATTAACGTTAGGCACTAAACTAAAACAAAAAGCATACTTTGGGCACTTTTTGTATATTTAAGCCAAAAAATAAATGAAGAAAAGTGAATATCGACAGTTAACAACTGACACTAAAATTACTATCGTCGTCATCCAAAAAACCTAAAAAAAACGAAGAAGGAGAAAAAAACAAGCGACACTTGAGAGAACTCATATTTAAATCTAAAGGTACATACTACAACTAATTTTAATATCAACATTAAATTATATAATATAACCGTTAAAACAATTAATTGTATTGTTTTTAATCTCACCGTCCATCCATCCATCCAAATGAACTTTAAGAGTAGCCATAGCCTGTTTTAACTATGTTGAACCATATTTAATAATGTTTTGATATAACAAATTATGACAAAATTTTTTTGGACTTGAATTGAATTTGTTCAAAGTTTTCAAAAATAATTTAAAGTTCATTAAAATAGAATTTGACCAAAAAACTATTTTTCTGGGTAAGTAGTACCGATACTGTTCTTACAGTATCGATACTACATGAATAGTACC